AGATGTGTATAAGAGACGTGTAGTAGACAGCATATTGTACGGGAATGTGTTCCCAGCCTTCGCTGTCCTGCCACTGGAGGAAAATAAAATTATGAATATGAATTTTCTGTGGTGGCTCTGGGGGTTTTCCCCTGCGTTTGTAGTAAGACCAGAGTCCCTTTTGCGCTTCATAGAAAGGGGTTTGTGGGTTCAAAGAGTATATACTCTTTGGTGGGTTTCAGGATACAACTGCAACTGCTGTAGGGCAACTGTTACAGTTAGTTATTGGGGCTCCCGCATTTTGGCGTTCCATACGCAAAGAGAACGTATCATCATGTGAAAAATGACGTCCAGCTAGCTAGGCCTTGGTGAAGAAGGTTTCCAGATGGACGTGCAATGGCTTTCATACGCATTTACAACATTCTTCTGTTTGCACATTTGCAGTACAGAAGATCAGAGGTACAGTATAACTTTACAATATATTGTAGAACGCGTTATTTAAAAATGTGCTTATTGCCATTATTCTATGCTTCCTACCTAGGCTAGGTCCCAGCCCACTGGTGGTGGGAGCGCACAGACGATGGGCGCATGTACGTAAGCGATCACACGAAGGACAATTGGACCCATTTGTAGTAGTAATATTGGACCTCGAGCAGCGGTGGCGCAAGCGGGGGAAGGGGTGCATTTTCTCTCCCGTCTGACAGGCCTGGACTCCCTGTTGTCTGACACCACAACAAAAATAATTTGCTTTAAAAAATTAGGATTTGGCAATCAAAATTATGTTATTTAGATAAGCCCAAGGCCCCTAATAATAATAGAGGCCTAGAGGGCCTGGGTTATCTGAATAACATTATTTTGATTGCCAGTCCATAATTAGTGGTCTAAAAAGCACAATTTGGACCATACAAACCTATACATAAAAACTTTTGGAATCCTACAGGGATTTTTAAATTCGGGACTCTAGCTAGTCAGCCCCTTGTCGGCAAATTTGTGGAGTCGCCGCTGATGACAATTGAGAAACCCAGGTTCAGGCTGATTGACAGAGGGTTGATAAGTCTTAACGTTCATGTGTCCAGTAGGGAGCTTACTGGGCGTACTACTAGGCTAGACCTAGGCCCCTGTAGGCCTACAGAAACAACTAGAATTTACTAGTCAGAGCCTAAGACCAGAGAGAGAGGTGTGGGTGGGGGATAAGTAGCCCTACCTAGCCCTACCAACAAAAAAAAGGCCTCCTCCTAGTCCAGGCCTCGCAGAATTATGAAAGTGGGGATCTCAGATTTGGTTGCCCTCACAATTTTTTACTTTCCCTCTATTTTAAACTGTTTCACCACATTTGTTCACTTACTCAAAGAATTTCAAATAGATTTTTACACCAAAGAAACAGTCTGAACAAATCATGTTAAGTATTAAATATACACAAAAACTTGCTTTATACTTATTGATTTCTTTCTTATATGAACATTTAAACTGATTATTGGTTTTTAAAAGATAAACACAGTGACTATTTACATAAAGCAAATCCACGTGATGTTAAAGAAGCATACGGTATTCTACAAAAGTAGCTGGGAGAAACAACATTGGATTGAGACCCAAGAATGGAGCCAACATGATAAAGGGTTTATATTGAGTCCTAGAGGCTACCATATACTAGGGCTATTGCCTAATCCCTTACTACTAAGGTAGGCTAGGCCTGCCCGAGGTGGCTTCAATTCAAGCCAAATTTCCATTCTCCAACTCGGCCCTTGCCAACAACTAAATTAGCCAATCATAAACGCTCATTAAGAGATCTACTCACCCAGCTCTAACTTTTATGTGACGATAAACAACATCATAGGCTACGTCCAGACTTGGAGATAAGCCAGTCTTGAGTTAAGCCCGGCTTAACTTTGCCCCCCGCAACGATTAAAGCCCGGCTTAGAAAAGTTAAACACGGTGGCGCGCCAGGCCTAGTTACTATAGGAACACAGCCCGACTTGAGATAAGCCACCTAGTTCAGACTGGCAGGTGGATAAACCTGGTGAGTTGAGCCGGGTTTATCCACCTAGTCTGAACTAGGCCATATACTTCTAGGCCTAGGTAGGTATTTTTTTCTTTTCTTATGCAGGCAAGCATCCTGTTAAAAACGACTGTAGTATTGTGCGAAATTTTTGCTGAGCAGACTTCTCTTGTCAGACTAGGCTGTAATTAACATGGTACTTACTCATACTTTAATGACAATATTAAATTTTTTTTTTATAAATAGCACTGTAATGAATGACATTCTTTCACCGTACAAACTTGGTCACCACAACCCGCAGAAATCTCACCGCCAAGTACGCGACTGCCAGCCAGTAAAATATGGAAATGTCACCCACACAGTCACCCCATCACATGGCCAAAATAGCAGTACGATTACGCTTCCGATAACGACGACAAATCGTTTTGTGAGAGACTTCCAGTTTTCTGTGTTTGAGAAGCGTACTTCTATGGGACATATTACATTTGTTAATAATCCGAGTCGAACTATATCAGTGTTAGAGCCATTTGAAAAGGGCGGGTGTAAAGAAAACAGAAGAGCAACTGTGTTGAAGTCTTCCAAGCAGAAAAAATGTCTTGTGGCCATTAATGCCGGTTTCTTCAACACGCACACTGGTGAGTGTCATGGGAATATTGGGCATATATATATATATATATACCATACATATATATATATATATATATATATATATATATATTATTTTTAATTGTTTTTTTTTAATGTGTGATTTTTATTTTAAAAATAATAGTTAAATCTTTTTTATTTTGTATAATAATATTTATATCATTTGAATTCTCAACAGTCTGCAGTTCCCAATTGTTTGAGGTTTCTGCATAGGCAGCAGAAAATTCCAGGTTTGAATCCCAGTTTGGGAAAGGTTTTTTTTTCACACTCGCAGAAGATTTTTCTTCTATAACCTTAAAACATATATATACCTATTAATAATAGTGTGTATATCATGTATAATATAACTGTCTACGTTTGTTCAGATATTTATCAGAGGAGGATGTTGAAGATACAAGCAATCCATTTGTGCAATTAGTCGGAGGAGTCGGGTGGCTTCTCAGGAATGGTGAGGTGTATTTAGACGAGAGCATAAAAGTAGAATGCGATGAGACCGAAGAGACAGGTACAGTAGTTATGCATTATAATAATAGCTGCAGTGTGTATATATATCATTATTAAGTACTGATTAATTTTCATATTGCTGAAAATAAAAGGTAGGACTTGCAGTTTAACTAGGCTGATATGCGCATAGGTATGGACTCATTTAACAAATTTCTTCTTCTGCAAGGGGGTCTTTTGACAGAGGCTGAATGGACCAGTACACCGGGGTAACCCTCTGTTTCTCAAAATATGTACAACTTTTTTCATAGTGATCTTATTGTGTGTCTGACATTGACTTTTTCAAATCCAAATTCAGGAAGAGCAAGGGAGTTTTTTGATGTGATTTCTGCAAGAACAGTCATAGGTAGCGATGCAGATGGTAGAGTTGTACTTGCTCAGATTGATGGACAGACAAACAAATTTGGGTAAGAATTTGACATCAGTAATAACTCTTGTCATTGTGGAAAATTGAAATTGAGTATTTTATTAAATTTGTATATTTTAGTAATTTATTAGTTTTTACCTGAGTGCACTGTTCCTAGCTCTTTATATAGACCACCTGTTGAATTGCCACCTGTTAAGATACAGCCCGTTAATCTACCACTTGTAGATCCACCACATTTTGATCTACCACCAGTAGATCCACCACATGTTGATCTGCCACCTGAAGTACCAACTTTAAATCAAGCACATGTTGATCCACTACCTGTTCATCCAGCACATGTTGATCTACAAATGTAAATGCATTGTTGCCCCACCACCTGCAAATCCAGCATGTGTTGATCTAGCATCTGTTTTTATACCACCTTTTTTCTGTCACTTGTTGATACCATTGTTATTCATCGTCTGTTGATATACTACCTCTATATCTACCACTCGTATTGATATAGAGTGGAGTTGAATAGCTTTGTGGTTAAGATGCTTGCTTTCCAATCCCAGAGGGTCCTGGGTTCAATTCCTGTCTGTGTTGCAGTATTTGTTCTCACAACCAAAAAATTGTCATTTACAAGTCGGACAGTGTTATATTCACTATTGTCAATCCTTGGTGCATGTGCTGTGTGCCTAAATAAATTAAATAAATAAAATAAAATATACCTCCTGTAGATCCACTCCCTGTTGATTATCATATGTTGAGCTACACCTGTGAATCTATGATGTGTAATATCATATTATTCTTCCACTTTTCAGAGTGAACCTAGAGACGATGGCTAATTTCTTGAAGGAGCTTGGAGTGGTTAATGCAATCAACCTAGATGGGGGTGGCTCAGCAACATACGTTGTCAATGGAACAGTTGTAAATTATCCAACAGACACATGGTAAACAACAACAAACATAATAAGCCAGTTCATAGTTCGAACTGGAATGCTGTACCAAGGCCAGTTGACACATACACACAACATACATTTATTTTGATTGACCTTGGAATGGGATATGTGCATGTGCAGTTCAAACCATTGAATTGGCTTATTGCATGTTGCCAAGACAAGCCAAACCAGTCATTCGTCGCAAATCCTGTTTTAGAGAAAATGGCCAAAACATGCTGGAATGTAAACTTTAAAAAAATCTGTTTTATTGCACTAAAACTAACCTTTATATATCTATACATTATGCTATGTTGTTATTTTTCCCATTTTCAATGTTAAAATAACACTTTTAATGATTTGATGATAGTTTCTACATGAGAAACGTCTGAAATCATAAACATTGAAGGCTGATTTCTAATATATTGTTCTTTAAACAGCTGTATGTTTAAACGCTTGTAACTTCATAAGGAATGTTGGATTTCAATGATTTTTTTACCATTTTATAGCTATTATTTTACTCTCTAACACTGTATTAATAACTCAGAATGGATTTTTGCGACAAGTGACTGGTTTGGCTTGTCTTTGCCACATATAATATTCTAATTGAACATGTATGTACATTATATTAAAGCAAGGCTTCGGAGGAAAACAAATTTTTAATGTTGTACAATCTGATTTTTCTTAGACACAAAAAGGGTTTTGATGAAAACTTGGAAACAGTAAATGAGATACAGATTTTTAAATATTTACGAACTGGGGAAAAAGGGGCATGCCTATTGTTTATCAGTACTGAATTGAACAGAAGTAAAAACCATTATTAAAAATGTTTTCAATAATATGTTATTATTAATTACATTATTATTGCTATTATTTATTATATTATGGGCTTTCCCTACGACAGCAGAAAAGCTGTTGTTCCCTCTCTTCTCCCTTCTATACCACTTTCCTATGTATTTGCACATGGTTATCCTACCCTCCACTTTAGCCTTTTTCCATTCTTCGATCACCTTCAGAATTTTCTAAGCAATGGCAATAAAAGTAAGACATGTATACTAATAAATGACATAATCCTTCCTACATATTTTGAATATTGATAAACTGGTAATTCAACTTTTATGATAGTGCAATTTGTATTTTGTGAAGCATTTCAAACAAATTACAGCAAGGCTCAATGGAAACTGACTGTAAAATCCATACAAATTCTTCTCCATCAACCTACAAAATATATGCAAGGTTGATAGACTGAAAAACTGACCTTCATTGGGTCGGGTCTTATGCTGCAATGATTAGAACTCTCCACTTCACTGTCACAGTACCATTGCATCTCGAATTAGAGTCTTGATTATCATTAAATAATTTGTTTTTACTACATAATTTCAACATCACTTCTCATTATGTAAATGATGAAAAGCCATAATTTTATGTTTCACAAACATATTAAAGCCCCATTCCCGGCAAAATTTCACTAAAAATGACTTTTTTTAGAAAATATGCGTTTGCATTACTCCAATTATTATAAATCATGGAAAAATATTGGCATGAATTTTAGTTTTACGCAAAAGAATAAAAAAAAAAGAGAAATACAGACTATTTCTCATAA